GCAATAAAGTGTTTAAAAATGGAATTACCCTTAAAGCAGTAAAGTTGATTTTAAAAGCACTGCAGCTAACATTCTAGCCTTTTTTCACCGTATTCAATATTCTAGTAATACACAGGTCTAACAACAAAAGGTCTCCCCTGTCTTTCCATATCTATTGTTTAATGTTAGGCTGCCATAGACGGGAGTTTAAAACCGAATTGGCCGATGAAAAATGGTCGTTCGATACTACTTTAATGTCTCAGTACTCCAAAAACAGCCGTTTTTTCATAGACTTTTTCCAGCATGACCGAGTTAAAAAGAAATAAGATGCTAAGAATTGCAGCAAAAACGGCCGACGGCACTTACCCCTGGGACAACTAACACAGAATAGCGGCTGATTTTTCGTGCTGACAAAAATGCCAATAAACAATCCGTCTATGGCCTGCATTAGTTTACCATTTACATCTCTAGGTTTTACTAGTAAAGTTATACACTTTATATGCATGCTCAGTACACCATTTGCACTTAGAGTTTTTTTAAATCAAATCAACTTTTGATTTAGTTATGCATGGAGATTTACTAAAACTGGAGTGTGCAAAATCTGGTAAAAGTTCTGCATAGAAATCAATCAGCCTCCATAAACTGAATTTTGAAGCTGATTGGCTACCATGCACACAATAAAATTAAATGAGATTAAAAACACTGCTAATGGTGTGTGTGTCTATGTGTAGATAGAGAGAGATTAAAATCTACATATGGCGCATCCTTCCCCTCTCTCCCTTGTCTTTATTGCTCTTTGGCACTCCTATCAATCAACCCTGCAGGCCCTCATTTAGCAATATTTAATTGTTTTCTTTGGACTTGGTAACCTATGTGACCACAAACCCCTTCTTTATGGCACAACATGTCTGTCATCAAGTCTGGAATTTACCATTTACTGGAGCAATGTAGTATGGGGCTTTATACTAAACCAAGGTAGCAGGTCCACCCCTTTACAGAAAATGTTGCAAGATCTTCACAAGTAACTAGAATCCTACATATGGGGGGCAACGTTCATTAGCATCCATAGATTAGCCTTCAATGCATCTAAAACTGGCCATACAAAGTTAGTTTTTAGTTTGAAAAGTGTCACTTTTTGAAAGTTCAATTGTCTAATGGCTAATGAGACCATTTTTTGAATTTAATAATGCGGAAAATCGAAAATGAAAGATGGTTATTTTTTTGTGATTTCTTATCTCTTTAAAGTAAATGCTGACTGAAGTCCTTGTAATGTGCATGTACTAGGAAAAATGTCATCTGGAATTAGACCATTCATGGTCACAAACATGCTTTCTATTAAACAGGTATGTATGGTATAGGTGTATATGAAAAAACTGTGCACACAAAGCTTTCTGTATAGTGTTTGCAAAATTAGATTTATATGTAGATTCTACTGTATTTGCAGTAAATTCAATACAATCCCAACGGCTGATCAACATAAATGAGGGAAATTTACTGGTGCACTTTGGCTACCATGCACAGCTGTATTAGATTCCATCAGCTTCCAACTTTAGCATGTTCAATAAAGATTTGACAATGAAGCCTGGAAGCTGATAGGTTTCTCTGCACAGCTGCACCAGATTTTGTAAATAACCTCAATGTGCATTTTATATAGAAGCATCACTTTTAAGTATGTAACATGCTTATAAATTTCACTTTTTGCTTCTCATAAAATTTTTTTTTTTTTTTTTGTTTTCCGGGCATCCATTCAAGTAGCAGATTTGGCTAACATTTTTGAAGAATCTTCGTTGATTCAATTATGTCATTATTGAATACTCTGACAAATGATTTTTAAGAAAGGAATACAAATTTTTTAGCAAAAATCTAACTATAGCATGCCAAGGTTTTTTTTTTTTTTTTTTAGTCTGCACGCAGATCTCGGCTTGTTTAAGGATTTAATGTGAATGGGTCTCGGCTGGTTTCCAGTGGACATAGGTTACACTTCCTCATGTAAATTTGCAGCTCAGTACTTCAGGAAATGTTCTATGGGCCCAATTTAGTGATAAAATGATGTAATTTGAACTGTTTGTGTTAATTACCAAAGTGCTAGAATTCTTGTCTAGAGAGGGGTAAGTGCGGCCCCCAGTTAGTTTTATCCCACTCAGTTTGCAGTGTGTACAGTGTACATTAGACATGCCAGAGTCACCATGTAACAGCTGTTCTGATGGAACACAGGGCTTTTTAATAGACCTTTTAAAGAGAAAATGCGACTCTGGTGGGACTCGAACCCACAACCTTTGAATGTCTACAACACTGCTAGAAGTCCAATGCGCTATCCATTGCGCCACAGAGCCAGCTGGCTGTAAGCTGTTCTACAACGCAACAGTTGCCTTTCACAGCTGTGTGTGTGTGTGTGTGTGTGTGTGTGTGTGTGTGTGTGTGTGTGTGTAAAGAGAGTAGAAACTATGCTATACTGTATTTCTGTGATTAAACATTTGAGCCATTAGTGTAACTTTCATGCAGCCGTGAAGTGTTGGTGGTGTTTTGTTTTTTTTTAATTGTTTTTTTGTTTTTCTCATGGCTTGCACGTTTTATGCATTAGCTTTGCTATGTAAATACAATTTAATATTCTCCGAAGGATGGCAATTGTGCAGTAAACTTCCCAGGTAAACAACTGCTGTGATAAAATTCATTGACCATACCTGAAAGGGGAAAGAATATTTTCCCTGATGTGTGTGTTGTTTTTTTTTTTTTTTTTTGTTCCCCCCCCCGTAGTTTTGGGGTTATTTTTTTATTTAGTGCCAGGAGTTATGTAAAACCCTTGTTGGCAAATAGAACCTACTGGGGGGATTTCACTTCCTTTCCTGAAGTCAATAATAGAGGATGTAAATGTCAACCATGTGTAGGCAGAGCAGAATCGCTCCATTCATATCCTTCCATAGAATGCATCCGAGCTCATACATGCTAAGCTCGTGTTTGTATGAGTTGATATGCAGTATGGGACACTTTTTATGCAGGATCTTGTTGGTACATGGGGCATTAAGTTTATATTCCATTATCTTCCCCTGCCAAGAGACAGCTGGTGCTTGCATTTCCCTTCCTGTCCAATGGGAAGTTTGCTTGCTGGTCGAACTTTTGTTAAGCATAATAAAACAATTTTTACACTACTGGCAGTGGAGCCCAGTCAAGACCCAAGATCGTGCTCTGGTGTTTCCTCCATAGCCAAATATTTTGTGATTACCCAGTCATATTTTGTTGAATGTGGCATTGGTTTACATGTCTTTTTGCCATAACTTAGCACTTATATTTTTTTGTTTAGAAAGTGTTGGACGAGTGCCAGGACCGGAGGAACTGCCAGCTGCTTGTCAACAGCCGTTTGTTTGGCGCTGATCCATGTCCAGGAACCAGCAAATACCTGGTGGTGGGATATAAATGTAGGCCAAGTAAGTACTGCACTCCCCGGATCTGCATGAGCCTTGTAGAGAAGAATTCCCATTACAATTAATATTTAAAATTGCAAGTTCAGCCAAACATGTGCATGTGTGCAGTCTATAGTAGCTGTCAATGGTTTTGTAAAGTATTGTGCAGATTCTTAGTGCATAGTCAACCCTCTTCCATGTTTACAGGCCTTGCTTCTTCTGAATTAAACACTGATATAAGCAGTGCATGGACAGGCTAAGTATATGCATATGCCAAGTATGTCTATTCCTTTCTATGAAGTTCATTGCTCAGGTATGAACTATGTACAAGGAGCACAGCACACTAGCCTGTAAACACCATATGACCTTTCCAAGCCAGGCATCACATCAGCATGGGAGGTAGACATTTTATCTCTAGAATTAAGGGCTGGGGGAGTGTAGCACAGTTTTTGCTATGTCCCATTGGGGATATTTCCCACTCCCTTCCTATTCCAGAGCCAGGAAAGAACAAATTTTGAGTGAATATATCCTCTTGGATGGCCGTCACCAGAACAGTTGTACCCATTGAGGATCTCCCATCTTCTCATCCAGTGATACTGGTAAAAAGTTTTTTTCTTCCATCAGAATTTGTAGTCAATGGGACTGAAAGTTAGGGGAAAATCTCCCCAATGGGGCTGCAGAAACCCGTTAACTTGATAAAAAGTTTAACCCTCACCCACTAAATGTTTAAAACACAAAGCACCTTTCAGGCCAAAAAGTCTGTACCGGAAATACTGCACTGAGAACTTTCAATGCCTCTGCCTTTATGTGAAATGGGTTTGACCAGTGGCTGAATGATCTTTTATTGCACTTTTTATAAGAAACCTTTCTATATCAGACTAGAATACTGCAGTCTTATATGCATGTCTTCAATTTTAGATGAATTTAAGAGTAAGGTGGCCTGTGAGGATGACCGGCTGAGGCTGAGTTGTAAGAGGAATACAGTGATTGCCATCTATTCTGCTACATTTGGAAGAGTACAAGGTGGCAGCTTAGAGTGCCCATTCCAGGACCTAGCCATGACTTTGACAGGTAAGAGTATTCTTTTCGAGGACTCTCAACACTCCAGTTTGTCTTCTCTTGTGCTCAACCACATAATGACCAAAGATTTTTAATTAAAGCTTTAGATCTTCAAATGCTTCTGTTTTGTAAATCACTCCAGTGTGTTTATGGTGTTTTAGAAAAGGAGCACCGAGTTCAGGAACCTACCTTTTTTAATGCTTAACCACTAGCCTGCAGGGCACTTATACCCCCTTCCTGCCCAGGCCAATTTCCAGCTTTCAGCGCTGTCGCACTTTGAATGACAATTGCGCGGTCATGCAACTATGTACCCATGTGAAATTTTTATCCTTTTTTTTTTTTTTTTTTGTGACAAAGCTTTATTGGTATTTAATCACCTCTGGGTTTTTTATTTTTTTCTTAAACCAAAAACCACTGAATTTTTTTTTTCCCTTCGTATTTGTTATAAAATTTTGTAAATAAGTGATATTTTTCTCCTTCACTGATGTGCGCTAATGAGGCTGCAGTGATGGGCACTGATAGGCTGCACTGATGAGGCAATGGTAGGTGGCACTGATGGGCATTGACAGGCATCACTGATGGGCACTGAAAGGCAGCACTCATATATAACACTGATATGCGGCACTGACTGGCGTTGATAGGTGGCACTGATTGGCAGCACTGATAGGTGGCACTGACTGGCATTGATAGGTGGCACTGATGGGTGACACTGAAAGGCAGCTCAGATAGACATTGATATATGGCATTGATGTGCACTGGTAGGCACTGAAATGTGGCACTGATGGGCACTGGCAGGTGGCATGCATGAGCACTGACAGTTGGCACTGCTGGGGCTACGCAGATTATCAGGGCACACTGATCATCAGTGCTTTGATAATTTGTGTACATGTCCCCTGCGAGGAATGCTAATTACCAGCTCTTCTCTCCTCTCGAGCTGCCAGCATGACAGCTCATGAGGAGAGAAATGCCAATAACCGGCATTTCCCTGTTTTACATGTGATCAGCTGTGATTGGACACAGCTGATGACATGACCGAGCCGACATCTTTGGCTCTTTCCGTTGATCCGCTGTGTCCGAGGGACACAGAGCATTGCTGCGCACTCCTGAAGCCGCGCATGCGCGTTTAGAATGGGAGGACGTCCTATGACATCCTCCCAGAATGAGAGAACAGCCTTGCACCTGTCATTGTACTATATGGTGGGTGGGAGGTGGTTAAACAGGTCCAATTTGTTAGAAGTGATGTGACCCCATCACTTTAGATGCACAGGGCTATGCTCATATGGGCACTCAGTGCAAAATGGCATATAGCTCCTCCAATTTGCGGACTGTTTGACATGCACTGCATGTGCTTTCCATACAGTGTGGCCCACAGGAATCCATTAAAGTAAATTCATAGTGAGACCAACGATTTAATGCAGGTTCAGTGTCACAAAATATAAAGCCTGATAAATATGAAGAAGTATCAAAACAGACTAGACATGTGAAGGGGACTTCGTGGGTGTTAATTCTTGTCAAGCACCCCTTTTGGAAATCAATTTGAACTAGCCTCACGTAAAGGCAAAACTTCCAGTACATTACACTGCCAGGGATTTTGGGTTCCTGTAAAGGCAAATGTTCTATCTCTATTTTGGATAGAGCAAGGGTTGGATAGACTTTGAAGTTTTTATTACCGACTTGCCCCATACCTCCTTTTTTTTCCTAGTAATCATGTTAGGGGAAATCCTAACCTTTTTTTTATTTGTACTTTTTTTTTTTTTTTTTTTTTTTTTTTTTTTTTTTTTTTCTTATGACAGCTCTGGATAATAACTACCAGTTGGACACAGACTGAAAAACAAAAATGTCGGGGTTTAACTGTTCACTATGGGATAAAAAAAAATTAAGACCTTTTTTTTTAGCTGTATGCTTTAAACAAATTGCCTGCAATTTGACCCCCAGGCTCTGTACAGAGTAGACATCTGTAGGACTAGCCAAACACGTGTGTAGTTTTCTCTTGTTAAAACAGGGTGGATGGATGAATCTCTCCTGCTGGCTATTGTGTTGTCTTGAGTAGTGGCTGAAGTTTACCCAAACACTCACTGTATTTGACTGGACACTAGCACTGTTTGCCTTTGATTTTTTTTTTTCCACCTGGCTCCTTTGACAAAAGTTGATAGAAAAATCTACTTTTGTGTCAAGTCAGATGGTGCTACTAGAGCCATTCATGGTCAAATTTCAGGCCATTTAGCAGGTATGGGCCAAAATTCAAGCCATCTGTATCCCAATCCTTAGGTGGTAGAAAGCCACATATAGTAGTAGGAGCTATAAATACTATGCCAGGCATTTTAGAGAAGATTTTAAAACCTATAATGGAGCATTTCAAATGTGTCACTGGAAGGGACACTGACTTTGCAGTGCCAACAGAACAGAACTTATACAATATAACCCATCCTGATTTTAGCATTGTATCCCCTATACTGGAAAAGCTCAGACAGTATAAAAATGGGTTGTCCACTGCCTATTGAAAGTAAGAATTTAATGGCACCTTATATTATCATGGATGGAAATTGGCACCCTCTATGCAAGGGCATAAAACACAAAGGGCCGATAATAAGGTAAGGCAGACATAAAGCCACTGTAGTCAATCAAGTGTTGCACAGTTGGCAGCTACCTTTTACAAGTGGTGACATGCCAGCCCTCCTCCAAGGTTCACTGCTATATGTTCTTGAAACAACCATTCTGTCCTGCGATGGCAGAACCCGTCAGTTATGTTTTTAAAATAAACACTACAGGCATAACAAGTCTGTGCTGACATATGGTATGATAAAGTTATGCTTGCAGCAATTTCTGTTTCTAGTAAGATTTGGTAATCTATTTATGTAGTTCCTTAATAACATGTATGTTTCATCAAGATGTATTATTCCTCTAGCATTAGTCTATGGGGTCATGTACAGAGTCATTTTGAATGATATCTGTGCAAATGACCTACAGTACTTTTTTTTTTTTTTTTTTTTTCTGCATTTGACAATCATTTACCAAAAGGCAATGTTCATTCTCTGTATTTTATGGACTTTAGAAAAAAGTGGTTAGAATGTTTCCCCAAAATCCTGAAAACCATAAATGGGGAAATTGTAGTGAGGGTTGTGTGATCACTTGCAAGCCAACACCACGTTACAATTGGCCTACAATAAGGCAATGCATCAAGAGGCACCTACTGGCCAACTAACTAATAAGCTAGTAGTTGGTCATCATGTGTTTGCTGTTCACCAAGCAACCCTGAAATATAAATGCTGCCTGTCAACCCCATCTCCAAGCACTCAGCCACAGGTGTGAGCCCCAACATCGCCTGCTGCAGCAATTGCCAGGAAAACCCAACCTAATTAGTACCTTCCCCTCCATATTCTGCTATGCACTTTCTAGGAAAGAAGATGAGTGTTTCACTAACTTTTTGAAAATGTATTTAAACCCAAGGACAAAAGTGTTAATTTTTGAGCTTTTACCCTATATTTTCAGCTGCTGACTTTACCAGTGACACTTCCCCTTCTAGAATGACAATACTAACTGACCCTACTGTATCTATGAAGCAGCTGTATTGTCACTCTGCAACAGAAGGTGCTTTAGGACTGCAAATCCCCTCCATCTTCATAACCCTTGGGGGTGTAGGAAGGGGTTACTTACACTCTACTGAACAGCCTACCCTGCACTTGGAGAAAAAGGTTCCCCCTAATATTAAGGGATCAGAGTAACTAATGGGTGTCACTGAAGTACAGCAGGAGTGAATCCAGGATGTAGATGGCTGTGTGTGGGTTCTCCCTTTCAGAGAAGAACAAAGGAGAAGCTACAGACATCAAATGGTAATTAGGTTTACTGCAAAACCCTGTCCTTTCAGTTTGCTGGACATTTCTAGGGGACCACCTTTTGTATGGGGCTGCTTACCATTTCTAGGGAACCACCTTTGTATGGGGCTGCTTACCATTTCTAGGGAACCACCTTTGTATGGGGCTGCTTACCATTTCTAGGGAACCACCTTTGTATGGGGCTGCTTACCATTTCTAGGGAACCACCTTTGTATGGGGCTGCTTACCATTTCTAGGGAACCACCCTTGTATGGGGCTGCTTACCATTTCTATGGACTGTGATGAAGTTTCTGTTACCATATCTTTGGAACTGTATCTATCCCATTGCTGTGAACTGTTTACAACTTTTTCAAATAAAGGGGTCATGTGCAGGACTCTGTTTAGTGTGATGTAATAACTAAAATAGTGTGGGGAGACTATAGTTTTAGTTTAATATACACAGCCAGTGCCTGGGGAATGGTGTCTTTGAGTGCAAACCTGAACAGCCTAGGAGCTGGTGGTGGTTGAAGGATAGGGTTTTCCTCCTGGCCGTCAGAAGAGAACTCCCCCCTTCAACAAAAACAAACTAGGTGACCAAGTAGAATGTAGGGAGTAAGGGTCTCAAACCCACCATCTAAGCAACGAGGTCTACATGGGTTTTGGGGCAGAAAGGATATAGAGAATGTTGCCCTTGAATAGCCCTGTTTACAGGGGAAGGTGTTACATAATCACAGAAAAAACTGGAAACCATGATAACGAACCGCACAAGAAGTTATCAGTTAAAGATTTCAAGCAGGATTAACACTTATATGTACCTATTGAACCTTTATATGACCAAAGATTCTTTAACAAACTGAAAAGAGCAAGTAAGAGAAATATACAGAAGTTTTATTGTTGGGTTTGCAAACACTTTAACAATGTGTGCGCACACATATACATACATTCACATACAAGCAATCCTCCTTGGCATGTCATATCCCCCAATGGTGGGGGTAAACACTGACCAAACCAGAATTATTTGCATGGACTATTCTTCATGGATTGAGCCACACAGTTCTGCAGTCCTCCCAGGTTCAGAAACTTCAGAGGAGACAGGTGTTATGTTGTACTTACTGAGGCATTAAACTCAAAAACTAAAATGTAATTTATTACAGCTTTTCTTTTTTAGGCTAGGCTTTTTTTTTTTTTTTTTTTACTTGGTGATCCTGAAGGAACACACTTCCTGTCTTGGGTATCTGTATTCTAGATAAAGTGGCGAAGCCGTTATCTTTGGACAGCAGCATTGTCAGTCCGGGGGGGGGGGGGGGGGGGGGGGGGGGGATGTTAGAAAATTTAATCAAGTGTGAACAAGCCCTAACTCTTAAACACTCCTATAGCATTAGTATGGACATTAGATTGGCATTTTACAAGCATTAAAACGCTCCCCAAGCGCCCTATGCACAGTTTTGATGCATTTTGTAAGCGGTTTTTACAAGTGTTAAAACCTCACTACAAATGCCTACATTAAACAACCAACCACGCCGCAAATGTCCTGCAAACTCCCCACAAACGCCTGCCAGCACATTTGCGGAGCGACATCATAGACTTGAATGGGATGCATTGAAAGGCTTCAACTCTTCCAGACTTGATATGAGGCTTCAATTTTGAAGCTGAGCGAATGCTTCATGCTTTGATAATGTGAATAGCACTGTGTGCTGTCCATAGTATTTGCATAGGCATTTTAGGTTAATTTAAAAACACCCCTCAAACATCTTAAAAACATATGAAATAAGCGAGCGCCTTCCAAGTAGCAGCAGCCGTACACCAAAGGCACCATATAAGACCTTCCAATACACAGTAATATACAAAAATGTGCAGCGCTAAAACACAAATAAAATTTGTTCTACAAATAATTTATTTGTGTTTTAGCGCTGCACCTTTTTGTATATTACCCCTCAAACATCTGCATTTAATGACAGTGTGAACTAGGCCTTAGACTAGCAGATTTAGATGGACTTGACTAGCAGATTAAAGCTGAACTCTAACACTTTGTAAGCAGTTACAGCAAAGAGTTTTTTTTCATTTTGGAATGGAGGTTTTACATAAAGGAATAAAATGTGACCATTGTGAACACCCCTGTCATTGTTTTAGTTTGTCCCGACCCTCTAACTACTACTTTGCCTAGACAGCTTGGTCCGTTAAAGGAAGTTGAAAAATAACAGACCTCCTGACTGGAACACCAGGTAAAAATAAGGGTGGGGGGGGGGGGGGGGACGACACTAAAAAATTAAACTAATGCAGCCATCACAT